GAAATGACCCTTGAAAAAGGACATTGTGGTAAGATTCTGAAGATATGTTCTGGTTTAAGGAAGTTGAATAGCATGCTGATATTAAGATTAAGTTTCAGTTTTAAGTAGAATGACATTTGAAATTAATAAATAGGAAAAAAGAGGAAAACTCAACAGGGAAATTTTAATTGACACATTCAGCTCCTTTTCTATTAAATGTTCCAGACCCCCCCAAAAAAATGAGTTATATTTTACTGAATTTACAAAATGTTTAGTCCACGGCAGGTTTTAATTTGGACGTGAACAAATCGTAAATATTCATGTAAAATTTAAAGATGGGATAGCAATAGGTCATACGTTGTCATTAACAATACAGAGCTCTTTTCCCTCATTCCCAGGGTGTGGCTGCTGCTTTCCCCAACATAACTGGGGCTCTGCCAAAAGTTTCTTATCTGCTTTACCAAATAAATTACAATTTTCGCAACCAGCCTTAACTTCTGAACTTTGAGTGTCTCTGGGAGGGTCATATGTCAATGAGGCTTCTTCAATATCCAGACAGGGAAAGGAGAGGAACAGGAGACAAAGATTCAGTCTGTTGTCTAAAGTGCAGAGATTGACAAATGTGATGTCCAGTATCGTTCTCTGTTCCATGTATGAGAGGATAGAGACCATGTTCTCTGTATGTGACATAACCAGTCAGTGACTCCATGCTGGACTGTGTATACAGGATGGGGAAATACTTTGTACACATCCAAGAAAATACACACTTACTCAGATGAAGTTCTGATTAGAACCTTCCGATGCTGTAGAATGGGCACAATGCCTACTTCACAGAGTTGTGCTGAGAACCCGATGAGATATGTAAAGTAGTCATATATCTCATACGTATGTAAAGTACCCATGTAAAGTAGTTATCGCTGTATGGCACATGTAAGCATTCAACAAAACAAATATATTGTTTTAGTGAATGTTTTTCAGTATCAAATTCCTATGGAAGTCCTTGGGCATTAAACGGGCCAAGTTATACCCATCTGGTGGATAACAAATAAATAGAAGGTAAGTGATTCAAAAGCAATGAATTATTTACCTGCAGAGGATAACACTGTGCCTGTGGAATTATTTGGCTTTTCATGTTGAATTCTCCATTTTAATGGACAGTATTAATACCTGAGTGAGACTTAGTGTTGATTTAGTTTGATTTGGAGTTTTGCTTTTCTTACATATTTCAATTTTCCTGATACTTGTAATGATTCATTTGGTACACACTCAAAAATCATCCACTTTGTGTCAGGCCTTTAGAAAATAACTAACTATAGAAATATTAAACAATCAGATGTTTTAGTCTGTTAAGTGGTAGAAGACAGGCCATCTTCAGGACAATGCTAATTTTTACATACATTCTCAACCAATGTTTATAAAAATTTGAGCCAATATTTTTAAATAGGAAATTCCACATAAAAATCCAGATATCCAAATTCCCTTGGAAAAATCGAGTGATATGACAGCACAAAGCCAGCACTGCCATCAATTCCTGCCTGGCAACAGTAGACAACAACGAGTGAGGTTGAGCAGTGGTTGTCTGCCACTCCACAATACGCCCTCTCCTCACCAGAACAAGGCACATAATTTGTAGGGTTCAATGAAAATGGAAATGAGAGGTCCCTTGTTCAGGAATTATTAAGGATTTCAAAAAGATAACAGCAGAACATAAAACTAGGTGTGAAATCCTTCTGAGGGAAGAGAGGAGGGGCCATGTGCAACTGCACAATTCTGTCGCCATGAAGCCAGTCCTGCCTCTTGGGCCCCTAGACAAACAGCAAGGTGTTTGTTTACCTAAGAATTCTCCCATTCATTCAACAATCAAGACAGTATTTTCAATATGCCAGACAACTAGCCCCTGAAATCTGAGGTTCAAAGCCTAGCTCAGTGTAGCAGCGCACAGCAAAGCGTGAGAGCCACTGGGCCCTCTCTTCCTTGTTAAAGCTGGATCCACACCAGAGACACCAAGTGAGACTTAATCCAAGTAAAATTAAACTGCTCCCAACAATACAGATTGGCCTGAGCCCTTTTGTTGGCATCACAGGGGCCTCGATTACAAATTCTGAGGCACAGCTCACAAGTGCTAATGAATAACCAAGTCCCCTTGGCTGGGTAGACAGTGGGCCCAGAAGTGAAGGGCTGGCCTAGGAGAGATTTGAACATGAACCTCACCATCTGGCTCTCTGTGACTCACTTTGATCACAAAATGAATTGCAACAAATTGAAGAGCACATGGCCAGAGTTAATTGTCTCATCTGTAATCTGAACCTACTTTTAAGCAGTTATTATTACCCTCTATCAGGTGGAAATGTTTTCTACCATCACTGCAAAGTGCATTTTCCTGATGAACTGTAATGGATCATTAAATTCCATATCTGAATAACAATACTTTGCACTTATTCAGTGCCTTTCATCCAGGGATTTCAAGGCAGTTTGCAAATAATTAAGCTCCTCACATAGCAGCCAGAGGTGAGTGACTGGAAGGGAATTGCCTGAAGATACTAAGTCAAAGGGCATAATTCAACAGAAAGAGAATAAATGGCTTCCTCCCAGGCATTGGTAATAGTAAGAGTGAATTAGGGGATCTCCATTCCCTCTTTCCTTCTGCTTCACCCCTTCTTCCCTACAACAGTTGCTGACATGCAACATTCAAAGGACTGAAAAATAAAATAATATAGAGGTGTTCAAAATTTGGTTATCAGTTTAAATATACACATGAGGAAAATGTATCTTTCAATGTAATCCTGGAATCTACATTACAAACCGACACTCCAATCCACCTGCAGAAAGACAGACATCAGAGGAATTTATTGATAATTTATGATCATCAAATGGCAAGCCTGAAGCTTTCCAAAATTCAAAATAAAAATACTAATCAAAGTAATTTGTTCCATGATTGTCTACTCCATTTCTGGTCCCCCACTCCACCTGAATGATATTCAAGTTTCAGAAAGAGCAAATAGAGTGGAACTTGGAAATTAACGCATTTTTTTAGACCAAAGTACAGGAGGGAAAAACATCACAGCCACTCAAAGTTTTGCGGTGAAATTATAAACTCCAGAAAAACTGAATTTATAATGGAAAGGCTGACAGACCTTTCACTGGAGCAGTTGAATGCAACATTGTAATTTAGCAATCTCTCTTACAGACTAAAGACTAATTCTAACAAGATGTCATTTTGACTCACGTTTATTATTACCTGCAAGAATGAAAAATGCCGTTTACTCGCGAGCTGCTGGAGAACCAGGGTGGGGCGGTCTCACATTTTAAGCAAGACGCCTGCTGCCTTACTGAAATAGCCCTCTCCACCAGAGGAGTGGCAGCCTTTCACGCTCAGCTTCTTTCATGTCAGCCAGAGCCTTCGCAGCTCGACATGCCTTTCCTACATGTTACATTTTAATGATCTGAGAAAACCGTTATCAGAGTTAACATCTCTAATTTTACTCTAAACAGACAAAAGCAAAAAATCTCATTAGGCATCATCTCCGCCAAGGTTCCCACTAGGCAGTAAAGGATTTTTATCTAAAGTAATTACCCTTTTTAGTTAAATACACTCAACAGATGAAATTTACACAGAGTGAGAGACTGCAGCACTAGACAGCGAAGGTGCAAACCGAGGAACGCCGCGTCTCGCCACCCGCGGGAAATCGGCAGCTCTGTCTAGAGGGGGAGGCGCCCTTGTCCTTCTGGTTTCGCGGTGCCAATGGTGGTGGTGGTGGCGGTGGCGGTGACCCGGAGGGCACGCTGTGAGGCGCACCTTCTTGGGCCACCGACAAAACCACTCCGGACAGCTGCGGCGCGGGAACTTGCCCCAAGTTGCCAAACTTGCTTAAAGGCAAGAGGATGCTGATAATACCTTGCGCGCCCAAGACCTCTGAACCCAGGAACGCGCGGCCTTCCAGACACTTACACCTGGCCCTGCCCGCTTCCTCCCTCGGTCCAAATTCTTGCAAGTCCCTGGCCAGAGCGAGGTCGCCGAGATGCTCGTTCAGTCCCCTCTCGCTGGCACCTGGGGTAGCCCGTGAGCGCCGCCCTCTGCCCTCTCGGTGGCGTTCGGCTCCTGAGCACCCACAGGGTGAGAGAACTGAGAGACCCACGGGGAGTCTGGGCACGGGGAGGTGCTCCCTAGATAAATTCCCATCCTAGTTGGAGCTTCTGGGGCTTGGAGACTGTGTAGAGTGTGGGTGCGTGTTGCACTTGGACTTCTTGTAGGACCTTGGGAAGAGATGAGTGCAAGGTGTCTCAGAAGCCACAAGGTTGAGCTCCGCGGGACGCATTCCGACTACCGTACCCCTGGCTAGTAGGTATTCCACCTAGTTCTAGTCTGCTTTGCGAGGTCCTCAGATGCTTTTTCCTAGGACCCTAAACTTGAGCTTAAATCCCCCCGCAAGTCGCGATGATCAGGGCCACCCGTTGGCGGCTGACAGCTGAGCGCAAAGGCGCGGCAACGGCAGTCTTTGCGGAGCAGCCCTGGGCGCGGATGTCTTGAGCAGGGAGGAGGCCGCCGGGCCTGGCGAGCGGATCACCGGCTAGGGACCCGGTTGCCCGACCTCGACCGCCAGGGACAGGGCCGTAGGTCTGACAGCTGCTCGGGCTCGCGCGGACGCGCGCCTCCCTCCAGCCCGCCCTCCCCACGCCTGACTTATTACCCTCTGCTCCTCCTCCCCCTGCTGTTCCAAAACACCAGTCGACGCGAGCAAAATACAATGCCGCCTCGCCCGCCGTAAACAGCCAGGCGGGGAAAGCGCACATTTGCTGCTGCGCGTCCGCCGACTCTGCTCCCAGCCCCTTCCCGTTCCTAGAAAAATGCCATAAAAGCGAGCAGGGCGCTGGGCTAGCAGCTGCGCACCCGGCGGCCGCGGTTCCCTTCCCGCGCCGCTTCCCCACGCCTCCCCGCCCGCTCCGCGCACCCACTCCCCGCGTAAACTTGCCCCGCCGCCCTGCCCGGCGCCGCGGCCCACGGCCCGGGGCCAGGGACTCACCTCGCCAGAGAACTTTGAGTCCTTTCCGCCTCTTCTTCCCCGCGTCTTTCCAGCCCGCAGCCCCCTCCCGGCAGCAGGCACGGTGGGCGATTCGAGGGTCAACGAAAGCTCGCTGAGGGGACGCGCATCACATGGCAGCTCGTTCCCAGCCCCCCGAGTGTGCTGAGAAGGGGGAGGGGAAGGGGCGAGGGGAGACCGGGGAAAATCGAGAACCGGGCGGCGGCGGGACTGGGCAGGCGGGGTGGCGAGGGCGGCGGCGGGCGCTCACGTTAGCGCTGCTGCGATCGCAGCCCGGGCGTGCACGGCCGCTGCTGCTGCT